GAGAGAGAGAGAGAGAGAGAGAGAGAGAGAGAGAGAGAGAGAGAGAGAGAGAGAGGCGCATTTGCTTCGCCTCAGCATTTTCAGGGGAATGCCTTGAAGACAAAAAGGTCCTTGTTCTCAATCTCTCCGCAAATCCCATCTCTCATTCTTCCTCCCTCTTCCTTCATCCCCCCCTTGCTCGGCGCGTCTTGCCGCTCCGCCACCATCAGCAAAGTTGCACACATAAGCACTGGTCAGCGTTCAATTACCGTGAACACCAGGGAAAGGATGGGAAAGTACTTGACAGAGAAATGCACTTCAAGCACTGATTAAATACTGATACCGAGTATAAAAAGCTAAGCCCCCTTAGGTTGTGTGTGTGAACGAGAAAAGGAAATGAGAAAAGTGTGTGTGCGCGTGAAGACAGTAAGGGGGGGTACTTTTCCCTCCAATACTGATACAACTGTTTCATCATTATGACCCTCTATTACAGTACTTGCCAACTTGCTTACTACATACTTTTGATACACTCTGCAGAGTGCTGACTCTAACTAAAGCTGCTGATATGGAGTCATTAGGGGGTGAAGTTTCTGTTTTTCTTGTGCCCACAGAGCTTCCCTATTACTCTTTAGTGTTTAAGAGTTGCACTGCTCATAGGTTGCTAGCAGGCAGCAGATAATGGCCTATCCACAAGAGATCAATCAGAGGATATTCTGTTACAAGGCATTATAGTTCGGTGAGTTGCCTTCTTTTTTTAGAACAGCTCTGTGTGGGTTCACTAACTACCAAGGGAATCAATCATCTCCCTGAGTGTTTATTTGTTTACGTTACAGGTTTTTTATTTTTAAGTGACAAAAATGAAGTCTGTCGTCACATGGAGACTTCTCCCTTTAAGACCCCCTCACTCCAGTCCAAAACTCATTTGGCTCTCCTCTGTGAAAATTCAGGAATCGTCAACTCAATCCTCCTCTTCTTCTCATACACACTTGCACTCCTGAGATCTTCTGTTCTGATTAAGACCTGCACTTGTTCCTGGTTCTGGTCCGGGAACAGGAATGCCCTGTGACGTCTCTGTCCAGGGTCCAACACTACTACAGTCATCTATGATCCATCAGGATGCGTTCAGGTGCTTTAAATCACGGGTGAAAACTTCAAGATGCTGTTAAATGATTTAGTTTTTGCTATTTATTTTAAAAAAAGGCACTCGCTGCAAAGCATGACATTAAACAAAATCAAAAAGAAAAAAAATTATAGGTCTTCTGGACGGGTTCTTCTCTAATGAAACGTTTCATCTCTCCTCCAAGAGACTTCTTCAGTCTGAGAGTTTCAGGCAAAATTCAG